CTTGGAAGGAAAGTTATGACCAACCGAGATAGCATATTAAAAAGCAGAGACATTACTTTGCCAATAAAAGTCTGTCTAGTCAAGGCTATGTTTTTTCCAGTAGTCATGTATGGATGTGAGAGTTGGACTATAAAGAAAGCTGAGCACTGAAGAATTGCTGCTTTTGAAGTGTGGTGTTGGAGAAGACTCTTGAGAGTCTCTTGGACTGCAAGGAGATCCAACCAGTCCATCCTTAAGGAAACCAGCCCTGAATATTCATTGGAAAGACTGATGCTGAAGCTGAAACTGCAATACTTTGACCACCTGATGAGAAGTGACTCACTTGAAAAGACCCTGATGCTGGGAAAGATTGAAGGTGGGAGGAGAAGGGGACAACAGAGGATGAGATGGTTGGATGACATCACCGACTCAATGGACATGAGTGAGTAAGCTCCGGGAGTTGGTGATGGACAGGGAAGCCTGGCGTGCTGCCGTCCATGGAGTCGCAAAGAGTTGGACACGACAGAGCGACTGAACTGAACTGATTCTAGGTTTAAATAAAATACATAAAAAAAAAACCCAAAAATAAACCATTTAAAATCTTATAGTACAGTACCTTGAAAAGGATAGTAGTACAGTACAGCAGCTGACATACAGGGCCTGGTAACAGTACCAGCTAGCTATAGTACTGCTTCTTTTATGCTTGCTTCCGGACATCTGGGGTTTGAAAAGAAGATACTCTACTCCTGTACTCTATAAAGTACTGTACACAAAAGCACAACTACTTGTAGAAGATGTATGCACGTGACAATGTATGCCAGATACATGAACTAACTTACATGACTCAAGATGCAAGCATACCATTCATATCTTTGAAAGTTGCCAATTTGAAGGTTCATATGTAGGGGACTTATTATATCAGAGGGCTTCCCTTGTGGCTCAGCTGTGGTAAAGAATCTCCCTGCAATGTGGGAGACCTGGGTTTGATCCCTGGGTTTGGAAGATCCCCTGGAGAAGGGAAAGGCTACCCACTCCAGTATTCTGGCCTGGAGAATTCCATGGACTGTATAGTTCATGAAGTCGCAGAGAGTTGCACACTACTGAGTGACTTTGACTCACTCATTGTATCAGAAAATAATTAAGAGTGACCTTGCAACAGGCATAACTTTGAATTCATTCAATTGTAGAAGGCAAGTCTTTACAAAATGCCAACACTTTGTCATTGGTGACAAATACCTTGCTATTTACAACTTTGACACCAGGGTGTTTCAGAAGGCTAAGAATCCTGATTTGTGTCCCTGCCTTCATTTTCCCCTCATTTACTCCTGAGATCTTAGAAAGGGCTCTTTGTGCCAGCCTTGCCTCAGCTGTGCTACACATTACAACAGATAGGAGTATTTCTGAGGAGGAAGTCTTGGGGCTGTCCTCTTCAGGTCACATCTAAGAACTGGTATTTGATTTTACTTAAAAAAAAAAAAATAATAATTCCATGACCTATAACTTCTGTTATCCAAGTTTCTGCAGTGACTCATTTCCTGATCGAATGACACATCAACTACCTACATATATGACTGGTTGCATGATTACAATCATTTCAATACGTCTTTGGGTTCCATTCAAATTAGGTCACTTCCCCTACAAATTCTAGGTCTGAGTTCCAGTCAAACTAGCCCATTTCCCCTGCAAATTCCAGCCTGGAACTTACAGCTTCGGGGAGATTTTTCCCTAATTTATAACTCCGCCCGCTCACCTTGGACCGAATTATAGTAGTTGGGAATTTCTGCCAGGTTATGCTGATTTCCGTTGACAACGCTTTGCCCACTTCCCCCAATTTAATTACGATATGGGAGCGGCCGGGAGTCTTTGAGAGGAGAACCGTCTCCTGCGAAACAAGGTTGGCGATACTGGTTGGCATTAGAAGCGGGAGAGCCAAGGGCGCTCACAAGGAAAGGGCACCCAGAGCGGCCCAGCAAGCCCGGAGACCTGAAGCTCGGCGCCGGCAGACGCTGCCGCGAGGACCCGCCCTACCCCCAACAGCCTGCGGCCGGCCTGGCCCGCCCAGCCGGCGCTCACTCACTGGACAGTGGAGGTACGCGGGACACTGATCACAGCGAAGGCCTCCAGGCCTGAAGCTCCCTGAAACGGCAACAAGGACCGGGCCTCGCCCCGCAATACCTCCGGACTGGCTGGCCACGGCAGCCAAACAGCGCAGCTCTCGGTTTCCTTAAAGGGCCCGCTCCCCTGACCAAGGCGGCCTAGTGTTTTCTTTCCGACAGGCCATGGGAGGGGCAGATCAAAGAGGCAAATTCAAAATCCAGCCACTCAAATTTTGAGGGGAGTGGGCAGAGGAAGCAGAATGGAAATCTCACTTAAAGGCCTCAGTGAGGTTTGTCAGTTACTCATGAGGAACCTGAGCAATCTTGCTCCCTTGTGGAGCTAAAATCTCCATACAGCACACCGACATAGTTCATTTAATTCGTCAGAGCCTCAGCCTCCTCTGGCTGTTAAATTGCCCACCATCAAAGTAGGGGAAAGGTTAGGACGTGAAAAGAAACAGAGGAGACTTGACCAGAGTTACCAAACCAAAAATAAAAAAATTAAAAAAAATTTTTTTAACAGAGCCATCTTTCTCAACTTATGCTCTGAGAGATATTCATTTCTTCTAACCCCATCATTGATTTCTGTCTTGAGTAAGCCAATCTTTTTCCCAGCTTCATTGAGAGAATACTTGAGGAGCTGTTGGCATTCTGTTCTTTATTATTAAATAATTTGGAAAAATAGCATGGACTTCACCAGGCTCTGGCCTTTAAGAAGGTCTATGAGGAAAGTTCCTGCCCTTAGTCCTGGCTGCCATCACATCAGTGGAGAAAGCATCTAACCTTCCCAGGCTGTGTATGTGAGTGCACACCTCACCGAACTCCTGCCAGAGTGACCTGGGAACCACAAGAGCAAAGCCATTTGGAATTTTGGCCCTTTAAGACAGGATAATAACTGATAACGAGAGCATCTGAGTTGCACAGATTCTGCCATTCTGCACACCTACATTTGATTTGATCTCCAACTCCATCACTGTCACTCTTCATCCTCTGCAAAACTTACTTTTATCATCTCTGCAATAGGTCTAAAGCCATCTAATTTATTGGATTATGAAGACTAAATGAGATAATTCTATATTCAGGCACTTAGCACCATGTCTAGCACACAGCATGAAGTTAACAGTAGTAAAGAACAACAGTGGGAACCTGTTACTAACTCTGAAGTCCCCCGAGATGGCAACAAGGACAGGGCCTTGCCCTGCAGAACCTCCACAGAAGAGACAAATGGAAGGGAGCAGTTACTAAACCAGGCGAGAGCCATAGCTGTATCTGTATGAGAGGGCTACCCGACAGAGCTATGTTGTTCAGTAGAGGAAAGCAGTAGATGCTGACCTTTGGCCCAACAGGGTAAGATCCTATAGCTGCAGCCACTGCTAGCACCTCAACTCCAAATGGGGATAGAGTGGAAAAGAAAGACACATCCCCCTGTTCTTCCATGTTCTGATATCCTGCTGAAATCTTTCATCGGAAAAATCTGGTGGATTTCTGGATCCGCTAGAAAGCTTGACGATGAAGGAGCCAGGTTTATATAGTCTATAGAGGTCAGCTTGCTAGGCACAAAGACCTCTGACAAATGAAAATATCCAGCATACCATTTCTGCAACCTTGAGTTTATCATATTTAGAAGTCCTAGTTCAAAAGGAAGAAATGCTTCCAGTAGAGGACCCAGCCATGGTGCCACTGAATTGGAAGCTGAAACTTCCCTCTGATCATTTTGGTTCCTCATGGAACTGGAATAACTGATCCCAGTTACCAAGAGGAAACTGGGTTACAGCTATACATTGTGAGCAAGGAGAAATGTGCATGACACAACAAAGATTAACTGGGCATGTCTTAATACTGCCATGTGCAATGATGGTGATCATTAGATAACTACAGTAACCTGATAACGTTGGGAGCACTTCAATTTCAGACCATGCAGGAATTGAAGTGTTGTATCACCGCACCAGGTTAAAAAAAAAAAAATCACAATCTTCTAAGATACTGCATAGGGCAGGAAAACCAGAAGTGAATGAAGTAGGAAATTATGATTATCAATTTATCTTTTTTAACCTAGCAACAAGCTATAGAGGCACGGATTATTGGACCAAACCCGGGTCTCCTGCATTGCAGGCAGATTCTTTACCATCGGAGCCACCTGGAAGGCTCAACTCTGTATGTAAAATGTTAATTGATTATTAATTCCATGCCCTTCCTGTCTCTGTTTCCTTGTATGAACAGTACTGGTGGAGACAAACATATAATTTAGTTTCTAGATCAGAGTATTGACATCACTTCAAAGCAACATAGTAGTTGATAGGACTCTCTGATTCTCATGTTTAGGGGATGAGTTTCTCTCCATCCTGGGTGGCAAAACTATCTGGTAAACTATCAGGTAAACTATCTGGGTCTTCTGTTTGCCTCCCTTCATACCTATTCTCCTGCCTTGCCTGCCTCATTCTACACCCCAGAAGCTGACCTCTTTGGAAAACATCACCTGGGCTCTTCTCAGCTGACTTATATTTGGTTTTGGACTATGAAGGCATCCACAGGAGAGAGGAGGCAGGAGGAAAGAGAGATAGGGTACATTTTGTCCATTCTTTCTCTGTTTTAGGATCTGGCAGTGATAGTGTCTTTTCACTACTGCAGCTCTTGATCAGCAGGCCCTCCTCTGTGGCTTTAGGCCACAGAGCTCTGGGATACTCTCTCTCCTTACTTTTCGGCCTAGAGATGATATGGGTTTCTTGCCATTGCTATTACTCTCAACTTGATGGTTCTTCACCTCAAATCGGTAATTGAGATGCCTCAACTGGATGATTCTCTTAATCCTACTCCCTTTAATTGCCTTCTAATTACCATCTAAAATCTCTTTAGTCAAACTAACTGCGTAGAATTCCAATTCCTGATGGAAACCCAACGGATACACTTCATACACATACATTATAAATATTCTTGTATGTATTTTAAAATATAAGTGAAAAAAGTGACCATAAGAATATCTACTCTGGGAATTGAGAGAAATATTGGCATATATATTGAAGACATAGAATGTGGGATGAAAAGATTAAAGGAAAATTATTTCAATACCAAATGACATATAACCCTAACTTAGTGTGTGCATTATTTCCAATTTTATGAATTTGTGTATATGCTCTATACACACATACAGACAGGTACTTTTAAAAATCAGTTTGCATTATAGCATAAGAATTTTCATTTTATTAAATGGCATTCATATATACCATTTTTAATATATATAAGATTTTCAGCAAGTATGTATTCAATTTTAATCAGATATTTCTGATTTTTTTGCTACTGTCAATAACATCATTGTTAATCAACTGTGTTCCAATGTAAAGTAAAAATTTATAAAATAGGATTAAGTGACTTCACAGAGCCTTAAAAAAATGATAATCACCTTCATATATATGTGTGTATATATTTAATATTTTGATTGGAAGTACTAAATTAAATAGTATACATATTTTAGAAAGAATTGATGTAAAATGCATAAAATCCATAACTTACTGAAAAATCCCCTACCTCAGGACAATAAAATTACTCAACATTTCCCTGTATATCCATAAATTAGTTTTTTTACATTTTTAATTGGAGAATTGGGATTGACATATTCAACACTGCTATGTATGGAATGAGGACCAACTGACAGGGACCTACTGTGTGGCACAGGGAACTCTACTCAGCGTTCCATGGTGGCTTGTGTGGGAGGGAAATCTAAGGGAGGGTGGGCACATGTGTATATGCAGCTGGTTCACTTTGCTGTGCACCTGAAGCTGGCACAGAATTGTAGATCAAACAAAGATTTTGAAAGTTCAGAGTGTGCTCAGATGTATTTCCTTTTAAAGAGGTGCTTTCTAAAGGAGTATGAATTTCTTTCTCTGTTAAAATGGGAACCAAGTTTAGCCAAGAACTTCAGTCTGTGAAGGAGAGGATGTGTGGGGCTAAGGATAGAAACTCTTCAGTATTAAGCTATTCTGGAATTGTGTTGTCTGTATTCTGGAACACAGTCTGAATTTTAACCTTATACTTCATTCCTGGGGCACCCTGTTGATTAAAATCTAGCCTGGGCACAATCTGAACCAGCAGAGCATCATTGAGCTTTGTACAGCCTCCTTTGGACTCTTCTAGTGACACCATGTGGCCCTGTAATATAATGGCAGCAGTGTACTTATTCTCTCCCTGCCTGGAAAACTTTAGATTGAGATATAATTCACATATCATAAAATTAGCCATTTAAAATTATGCAGTTTAGTAGCAGCTTTTAGTTTATTCAAAATTTTGTTCAACTATCACCTCTATCTAATTCTATAACATTTTCATCACCCCCAAAAGAAACCCCATACCCATTAGCAGTCACTCCTCATTGGGCGCTTCCCCTCTAGCCCCTGGTATATCTTAATCTCTTTCAGTCTCATTGCTATTCTTGTTCAGTTACTCAGTCACGTCCGACTCTTTGCGACCCCATGGACTCCAGCATCCCAGGCTTCTCTTTCCTTCACTGTCTCCTGGAGTGGCTCAAACTCATGTCTGTTGAGTCAATGATGCCATCCAACCATCTCATCCTCTGTCTCCCCCTTCTTTTGTTAACCCCCTTCTCCTGTCTGTCTCAATAGATTTGCTTATTCTAGACATTTTATATGAGTAGAATCATACAATATATGGCCTTTGTATATGTCTTCTTTCACATAGCATAAGTCTTTTTTTTTTAATAGTATACTGTTTTCAGGGTACATCCAAGTTGTAACATCTATCAGCACTTTGTTCCTTTTAATGGTGGAATAATATTTCATTGTATGGGTGTAGCACATTTTGTTTATCCATTCAAAATTGATGAACATTTAGATTGTTCCTATGTTTTTGCTATTATGAGCAGTGCTGAGATGAACATTTTCATACAAGTTT